TTAGAAAAAGGCTTGAACTATTTAAATTGTGTGTAATGAATCTAATATATATATATATATATATATATAAATGCATTTTTGCACAACTCTGTTGCTGTGAAGCTCGCACACAAGAATTTCACTCGCATGGACTGTACCAGTGTACCTGCACATGTGACGTGACAATAAAAGTGATTTGATTTGATTAATATATATGACAGTCTAATGTTTATCAGTACATTACAGGAAATAATGAACTTTATCACGCAACACGTTCTCACTCCCAGCGCGTCAAAAACAAACGCTTGGTCAGCCACCCTCCACGTCAGACCCCTGACGCCAAAAGTGCCCTTTTTCGTTACTTATGTGCGAAAAGGGGTTTTTCCCTTATTTGACTGGAGATCCCAATGCAGCGTATAACTGAAACGATGGGATGTCCGCTACCGTTGCATCCCAATGCAGCGTTACACTGGCACCAAACAAGCTCATTGTACCTCACCTTAACCGTATCCTCTTGTTTAACCTTCCCCTCACCCCTATCCTAACCTTAACAATCTTGCCAGCGAACACGTTGGTGATGTGTCGATCGCTCTGAAAGCCGGCTCTATGAAGTGAACGGCGGGAGCCGCCTCGTGATTGGTCGAGTTTGGACCGAGCCAACGCGAGGGGGAGGTTTCAACTACCAAGGTGGAGGTTAAAAATGTGTAACCTCCCCCTCGCCAGATGGTATGTTCTAACGTTCCCCTTGGGTGGCAAATACGAAAATTCACAGTCAGACTCTGACTGTCAGAGTCAGAATGCAGGGGAAACAAATGCTTGATCGCAGTGAGAGTAACGTTTAGGTAGCAAGAGGGTTAAGGTTAGGATGAGGGAAAGGGGAAGGTTATAAATAGCGAAACATTAAGGTTTAGGTGCGGTTAAACGAGGTGGTTCAGTGCCGCATCGGTTAAATGAGCTGGTTCGGTGCCGCATTTAAGGTTTAGGTGTGGTTAAACGAGCTGGTTTGGTGCCGCATCGGTTAAATGAGGGTTAAGGTTAGGATGAGGGAGAGGGGAAGGTTATAAATAGTGAAACGTTAAGGTTTAGGTGCGGTTAAATGAGCTGGTTCGGTGCCGCATCAGCGGATATCTAATCACGTCAGTTTTACGCTGCATTGGGATCTGCAGTTACAAAAGGGGAAAACCCCTTTTCGCACATAAGTAACGAAAAAGGGCACTTTTGGCGTCTGGGGTCTGACGTGGATGGTGGCTGACCAAGCGTTTGTTTCCGACGCTTAGGGTGTGAGAATGTGTTGTATCACAATATGCTATTTTTTTGAGGACCTGTGTGTGTGTGTGTGTTTGTGTGTTTGTGTGCGCGTGTGTGTGTGTGTATATATATATATATATTTTCAATTATGAATGAAGTGAAAATGAACCATGAGTCAGAAAAAGGATAGTAGTATTGGTACTTTGATACTTAAGCGTCGGTGCCCTTAATTTTGCAGTCATACAGTGTTAATTTTCACAAGAAATATTAATTTAGTTTTAGTCTTAGTCTTTTGACTAAAATTCTTTTTAATTTTAGTCAAAAGTTAGTCATCCAACGTGTTAGTTTTAGTCCTAGTTTAGTCGACTAAAATGTATATGCTTTCTATTGATGCAATAATTTTTAACTTGTGTAAAAGAAATGTTAACTACACCTACTTGAAACTGTAAAGAAATATATAAAATTCACATTTCACACTTTGGATCAATAAAACTGTTTTTATCATTGTTTTAATAACAATAATTATTGGACAATGTTCAAATGAACACTCACAGTTTCAAATTGTGTCTCTCAATAATAATGAAGTTAAAAATATGTATAATGTGCAGTAATATTTGTAAACATGACAGGAAATGACATCATTCATCAAACATTAAAATGCTTTTCAGGTGTACGTATTAGAGTTATTAGACTCACTGATTAAGGTGGGACACTTGAAAATTTCTCCTCACAAAGCACCGCTAGAACACCAAACGCTGATCTTATCAGTCGAAGCAGCACCACGACAAGATGCACAGTGCGCTGCTCAGGTTTTGTTCGCTGAGCTCTGACCAGCAGTCCAAATGCTCCTGACATTTCTCACTCCTCCTCACTTCTAAAGCCTCATTTTTACTTCTCCGTCAGCTCTGCGAGGGAGAGATGCTCACACGTTGACTGAGATATTTTGCTTTCAGACTTCTCCATCAGTTGGGGATTGTTGCAAAACAATTCCCGTCCAAGACAACAGAGGGCGTAGCGCTATTCTGTGTCCGGCCACCATTACATATCATGTATCCACAATGGTGTATCTACTATTGTGTTTAGGGTTGTCACGGTATGAAAATTTAACCTCACGGTTATTGTGACCAAAATTATCACGGTTTTCGGTATTATCGCGGTATTTTTTAAACGGTGTTGCATATGTTCAGAAAGCATTGATAGTCCTGTTCTACACAAACTGAAATAGTTTTGAAAAGGTTTAACAGTGTTTATTAAACCTAAAATAACACAAAGCCTTAGCAAAAGTGCAACTTTTCACAAGTAAAGGAACAAATAGCTTCTTTTTCTGGAACATGTTACAGTAGTCAGTGCAGGTTTAAATTATACAAATCCAAACATTCAAAACATAAACAATATGTAAACAAATCAAAGAAACACCACTTGTTTTCTCATATACTTGTTTTCTTCATTATCAAAATGAAAATCTAAAACTCCAGTCCACACTTGACTTGAGCACTGTACAAGTCAACCTTAAAAAATATGTATTTAAAATAAATAGCCACTTTAAACAAATTACTAAAATAACTACTACACTATGTAATCAAATCCAAATGTCCAAGTATAAATGGCATTGAATAAGTAAACAAATCAATGACAAGGAACTAATTGTATATTTCTCTTCACCATCAACAAATAAGATGCTTCATCAAGCAACAGGGTGTCCGTGACACGGTTTAAATGCTGGCAGAGGGCGCTGCGGCTGCAGTATATAGTGACTCGTTGCATTCTCCCTCAACCAAAAGTCCTCACGTCATGCATTTAAGCTAAAATGCTAATGTTAACTTACCTTGCACTGGCTGTAGAGACGTGGGTGATGGTCACGCAGATGTGCCATTAGATTCGAAGTGTTGCTGCCTTTTGCAGACACTTGTTTCCTGCACGTTCTGCAAACGGGATAGCAGTCTTCTATTAACTGTCCCTCAGCATTTTTCAGAAATCCAAAATATGCCCATACTTCCGATTTAGTCTTCTTTGAGGGCTGATGGATGTCCTGGGCGCTGCCGTCTCCTCCTTCGGCCATTATTTCAGCTTCAAAGTTTTGGTGCCGTTGCAAACTAAAAAGTGCGTGTGCGCGCCGCGGGAACTTCAGCTGAAGCGACGGTGGCTGGTTAGGGTCACCGCGCCGAAACCGCGGCCACGGTAAACCCACCGAGATAATATAGTTTTTTAAAAACTGGACGGTTATTTTTATTGTCAACTTTTTTACCGGGGTTTACCGCTATACCGGTTACCGTGACAACCCTAATTGTGTTTACATTGCTTTAACGTATTTCAGAGACTTTTTAACACGGACAAATTTGTCCCTCATTCCTCTCCACCTCTTCTTACGATCAGCACCTCTAAACTCACGTTTCTCGTCTTTTCCGTCCACAAATAAAACTCGTCCTGCATATCTTTGTACTCCGTCAATCCCGGGTGGATAAACGTTCATATTTCCAGCCTTTTTTAGCGATGCGTTTTTCAATCTGTTTAGTCTGCCGCTAAATATGTCTTAATTTTTTGAAGCAGCAACGATGCAGGTGACGAATTTACAGGAAGTGGCATCCTGACCAATCACAAGCTTGTGTTCTCCATCACTTTCAATGGATAGCTAAAAAATGGGGCATGTCTCCGTCTTCCTCTGCGAGTCCGTCAGAGAGCTCTTGCATTGTCGCATATTGGTGTTGCGTGTTTCCGTCCCAATGCGGACGGAGAAGTATAAATTAGGCTTTACATGGCACACATGGTTTACATGGTGGCGCAGTGGTTAGCACTGTTGCCTCGCAGCAGGAAGGTTGCAGGTTCGAAACCCAGCTTGGCTGCGGCCTTTCTGCGTGGAGTTGCGTGTTCTCCCCATGCATGCGTGGGTTTCCTCGGGGTACTCCGGTTTCCCCCACAGATCTCAACATGCCCTATAGGTTATGAACTGTAAGTCGCTTTGGATAAAAGCGTCTGCTAAATGAATAAACATAAACATAAACAGTGTAACCAAGGGAAACCCCGGATGTGCACTCACCAAGAAAACATTTTTCAGATTGTCACATCTACTGCATTAGACATACCTTTTACCGGCATGAGCATCAGTATATGATGTCTGGTTAGCTGTAGCTCGTTCAAACTGTGGCCTCCTCCAACGTCTGGTTGGTTCTTTTCTCATCTAGTCCCGCAAGTTACATTTGCTGATTGGTTCTTTTTTCCGGTGCCCCATCTTTTCTTTTTACGATTAGGTTTTCGTTTCTGTCAAATTTTGTTGTCTCTCATTTGTCAACAAAGATGTTGATCAATATTTGTTATAATTTATTCTTTATTGGTGTGTACTTTTTCATTTTTGTTTAATTTTATTCCACAAAAAGTAATTTGTCACAAAAAAGAAAATATTTAGTCAACGAAATTAACACTGCTGTCATGATCGTGTGTTTTGTCTTTGTAAGTTTCATCAAGTGCTGCACAAATCAGAGACCAGCATACAAATTATTGTATTAGGTCTTAATTCTTTACATATTTGAGTGAAATTCATGTAATAAGATAAATTAATGCCTGAGCAGGATTTTGATGCGTTCCTTGCACACACATCTTTGTGAAGAGTTGTTCAGAGAGAGAAAACCCACTCTAGGTAGTAAACTGAAAAAGTAACAGACTGAGTTCCTGGATTTCTGTGAGATTAATTATTTGTCCTTACAGTGTGTATTTTTCTGGTATTTTTAAGGTCAAAGAGACAAATTTTCCAGCTTGTACAATGTTCTCGTCTTCTACAGCCTGTACAGAGGATGTCATATTTCAAGGGCCAAGATGGAGGACACAGCCAAGTGACCTCATTTTGCCAATCAACTCCCCAGACCACCAGGCCACCATCACGTGTGAAGCAGAGGGTATTCCTTCACCGCAGTACAGGTAAGCCACAGCTAAGCCTGGACCTCAGACGTGCACCTGCTTTGCGCTGTACGTCTGCATCCCATGAAGGGGGAAAAGGTAGCGCCTGGTAATTGGTTACGTCCTTGCTGTTTTCATAGAAATTAAAGGGGGCACTGCTAGTTACTGATACATACTTTTTTCTTTCAATGTTTTTGGTCAGAACCTCCAGAGAGAGAAAATCTAGTCATCATCTAGAAAAAAAAAGAAATAAAAAACTCCGACAAGCTTCAAAGATCAGCGGCTTAATTGAGCATCCATTTCTAATTGAAAAAAGCTTATCTATTTTCAGCCGTGGCTATGATGTGGAGTCGGAATCAAATGTGGTTGACGAATATATCCATGGCTGCAGATGAGGGAGGTTAACTTTGATAATGAAAAGATTTAAATTGCTGCGCCTACTGAAGATTTATAAATTGGCGCGCGGCTTAGGAAATCATTAGAAGAGAACAGGAAATCCCTGTGACTCATTTGCACCACAGATCCTTTGATATGGCTCTGGCCAGTCCCTGGCAAGGCAGTGAGCTAGCTTGAAAATGGCAGCTGTCTCTTCATTTTTGTGGTTGATTGTGTGTCGGAGCTTGGTCAGCGGCATGGAGATGCACAGCAAGCAGGATAGAGAAGCAGTAACCTTGTGAGTGACATTCTGTTAAATGCTTACATTTCCTTTAATGAGTCTGCACTGAAAACATAGTTGAGGCCTGACAGCGCTGGTGGGGATGGAAAGAGGGGGGGGGGGGGTATCATTATACTGATTGTGCAACTTGAGCCATCCCACAGAAAGAGGAGCAACTAACACTTTCATCACTTCACTCAACACAAAGTGGGTCCTCAGCCATTTTGAAAAGTGTCTTTCTTTAAAAAGGATGTTAACGTGTTGTTCTTGGAGAGTTTGTGACCTACAGGACTGGAGAGTTAGTGATATTTATGCTTGTTGTATTCACTATCAGCTGAACATATCAGCATCCAGAACCAGAAGTCGTGTTTTTTTTAAATAACCATGTAATAAAGTGGATAAAATACTCCAAACAAAGCAGTTAGAATGAATAATCCTTTACTGTGTTTATTATCATTTTGTCCTGCTTGTATGGTTCACATTATTGTTAATATCCTCGTGTTGCTCTAGCCCCACCCACTTTTCCTCTGGCCACTCTGTTGCTAAAAGCAGATGTAATTAATTGTAGCATAAACTCAGTAAATTCAACTCCTGTAATAAATCTCATATTACATTAACTACCTATGGCTTTTACACAAATAGAACCCTCCAAAGTTTATAAAAAAGACCTCCAGTCGTTCTCATTTCCAACGTAAAAGTACAGAGTACCAAGCCTTTAAACCACAGTGAGAGATTAAATAATGCAGTTAGGTTAGAAATCTCTCCACCGATCTTTTCCTTGGGCGGGTTTAGGGGCTTTGCTGTCCTGGTTCCCATAGCAGATGTTTTGGTCACATTCCTGAAGGTTTAGATCGCTGTCTGGGGTTTAGATTCAAGGCAGATCAAATTGTGGAAGAAGAAGAAGAAGAAGAAGAAGAAGAAGAAGAAGAAGAAGAAGAAGAAGAAGAAGAAGGTATCATTTCTATAGCGCCTGTCAAGATAAAAATCACGAGGCACTTCAAAACATGTAAAAATATAAAAAAGCATTTAGAAAATGGTAAAAAATACATTTAAAATGGGCAAAAATAGACAATTGAGATTTTAAAAAATGTTAAGAAAGAGAGAGAGTGAATTGGAAAGAGGGAAATCAGTGGATCCTGAGGAAGGTGGAATAGGTGGGGAGAGCAGAATAAAGAGAGAGTGGTGAAGAAGGTCATAGAAAAGCCAAGCTTGAACAAGTGAGTCTTCAGCTGCTTTTTAAAGGAGACCACTGAGTCCACTGATCTCAGGCTCAGGGGGAGAGAGGTCCAGAGTCTGGGGGCCACAGCAGCAGATGATCTGTCACCTTTGACCTTTAGCCTGGTGCTGCACAACCAGTAGGCTTTGATCACTGGACCTCAGTGACCTGCTGGGGGTGTAGGGACTAAGAAGATCACCAATGTAAGATGGTGCTTGTCCATGTAAGGCCCTATAGACCAGAACCAGAATCTTGAAATGAACCCTGAAGTTGACTGGCAGCCAGTGAAGCTGGAGGAGAAGCGGGGTGATGTGGAGATTTCAAACCTCTGACCACTTCATCTGTTTATTTATTTATTTACTTTTTTTTAACTTTCAACAGAAAAGGCTTCCTTTGGTCCTTTCTTGAACCATAATGAACATTTTGAACATCCTGGAGCAATATGAGTGCTGACCTACTGAACGGGCTCTCCTTTGTTGTGCCATTAGGTTGTGAGTTGGTTTCATCTACGTAAAGTGGCCACAAAATTCCCTTTATGGATTGCTGATTCTTCATGTGCTAAAGTCCTTTCATGATGGTAAGGCCATTCCATAGCAGACATTTTAACCTATAGGGCGGCACAGGTGTAGTAACAAGGGCTGCGTCTATTTAGAGGAAGCTGAGCTTGCTTGCACCTTTAAAGAACAGCCAGCATGTGCAGCCTCAGAAGTGGAATGCAGCCCTCTCAAAACACCAATACTTTATCAGGCGTTCAGTCGTCATCAGAGTAACAACAGCTCTTCATCTGAACCTGTGAGCAGAACTTGGATGCAACAAGACTGATTATCATCATTACAGAGAATTCCCGTGTAAAAACTGCTCCGATCGATATTTTACACCAACAAAGGATCAAACGACAACATGAAATAAGAAAGGTTTCACCTGGTGGAACGTCCCCACAAAGATTTACGATCAACTCTGAAAGTACCATTAGCCTCATGGGGTGCATCTGTGTTTTCCAGCTCATTGTCTTGGCTTTATGTTCGGCTACTGCCTTTGTCGACTCTGTTTCAAGCAGCAGTTGAGACAACAAAAAAATCCCCCAGCTCTCATAAACTTTACTTACCTGGAACAAGCTTGCTGAGTGAGGTTAGTGATAAGTGAACACAGAGGAGTGTTTAGTAGCTAATGCGCCAGATGTGTTTGTCAGGAGTAGGAGGAGAACCAAAACAAAGGAGGGTAAACAGTAGAATTAAGCTGTCAGGTCACGGGAACTCAACGGCTGCAGAGTCTAATGTGTTGGCTGGATGTGTAAATGAGTTTTTTTCATTTTTGTTTTGGTATTTTTAAGCACTTTAATAACTTGTGAGACATTTAAGGCTCTTGTCGGGCACAACATTTCCATGTTTGGTGCACCGGGCCTCAGTCTGCCCCAGACACAACATACATCCGCAATGGCAGCACTCTTCTGGGTCAGTCGCTTTACAGCTCAGAGTCAATGCCCTCAATTAGGAATAGGAATAGAATGTTAGACCTGCCTTAACAGGACAAATAGATTTTTGAGTCAGGAAACTCTCATCAGAGCAGACTGACGTTTTAGATAATGTTTTTAAAGACGCTGTGTTTTTGTCCACAATTTCACTTTGAGGAAAGTCTTTATTTTGACCTTATTTGGATTGCATCATTCTTTCTGACACTGATTGTCCTTGACTTGTTTCCCTTCAGGCAAGGAGTTTTTTTCACTGATGCTGAAATTAAAAGTTCAAAATGTCCCAAACAGACTGAGAGGGGTGCCTTTAGGAAGTGGCCATGCTGGGACTGCTGCTGGAGTGTGCACACTATGCACAAAGTCACACCCCAAAAATGAGCAGCTTTAATTTAATTGGTTACGGCAACCAAAGAGGGATATTGCAGTCAGAGCTGTGCATTTAATTGCCACAGCTGCCCTGGATATTTATGGTTTAAGATCTGCATGGAAAGCTGGTCCCTGAAGGTGTTAGTTTGTCAAAAGTGATTATAGGTTAATGGTTAGTTTGTAGGAGGGAAACATACATATAAATGTGTTGTTCCCATCTTCGATAAACAAAAAAGGCACAACTAACACAATTTATTGATATTTCTTCTTTTGAACACATTTAAAACTTTGCTTTTGAATATCAATTCAGTTGAATATTTCAAATAATTAAACAAAAGGGGTGTCTGAGGGATCTCTATCTCCTCATAATTCTTCAGTGCTTTTGGCTTTTTAGTTTAAATGTCCGAGGGTAGCTGTGGCTATATTATAGCTCATCACCATCAGTGTGTGAGTGTGTATGGATTAGTGAGTGACTGATTGTGTTGTGAAGCACCTTGGGGGGTTATAGAACCCTGGAAGGTGCTATACAAACACAGGCCATTTACCATTTTACCAGTTTTGGTATCAAGAACCACTGACCTGTAAGTGAGACTGATCTTTCTGATATAAATCAATAGATTTAAATTCGGGATGCTTTGCTAGCTTTGAGGCTTTTTTGTAATTGGCACAGATTCAATGTTCCCCATTCTAAATGATAGACGGACAAAAGTCAGATTTGTTTGGAGCTGCTGAGTTCAAAGGATTCTTTCTTTCAGAACCGTTTGGGTAATTTCCAGTAATATATCCAGTTTTACTGTCACACATATCCCGAATTTTCCAAAAAATATTCTGTTGGTAATGGAACCCTTCCTGGGTTGTTTTCCATATGGAGCTCAATATATCTCAAAATATGGCCAATAATGTGAACAGAAATTTCCGTACTTTGACTTTGAAGTTCTGTTTTTAGCCCTTGACTATTTTTCTCATCTTCTTCCCTGTCCATCTGACCAACCTGAGGGTGTCGTTTCTCCAAGAGGAAGTTCCTTGATCATTCAATCAATCAATCAATCAATCAATCAATCAATCATTCAATCAATCAATCAATCAGATTTTATTTATAAAGCGCTTTTCAAACAAACTGCTACTCAAAGTGCTTTACAAAATGACCCCAAATTCCCATAACAGTTTAAAAACATTGACATATGCAAACACACACACACACACACACACACACACACACACACACACACACACACACACATACCAGTAAAAATGTATATTCGGCTGAGTCCAGATGAGCAAAGTAAGGTAAGGCACGGAAACGCCATCAGAGGAGC